GTCTCTCCACCCAAGCTTCCTGGCATCCAGCGCCCCACCCTCTCTGAGCGCCTCGGGGCTTCTCCCTCCCCTCCACTGACAACACCAACTCGTTAATGATTTTCTGACCTTAGGTGACCAGACCAGCCCCTGAAGCCACATTGGACTTGGAAACCTGTGACACTGCTCAGCCAGCTCGAATCTGCTTCCAGGAATCCTCCAACCGCCCCCCAGCCCCCACTAACAGCTCTTTCCAAAGGGCCTGAGGCTGCTTGGCAGGAGGTCACCAGGGCAACGTCTGACCTTTGCTTAGGGCCCCAAGCCCAGAAGTCACATCCCTACCCCATCCTGCCTTCTCAAAAGGCACAAAGCCCCTTCCCCCAGCAAACCCTAGCGGTCCTCATTCAAAAGCCTTGGTGTCTTCATTTTAAGGTGCAACCTGGTAAACAGGGACCGGTTATCACAACCTTGCAAGCAGACACTTGCCCAGCAAAGAAACTTGGTGGCCTGAGAATAAAGAACCCAGCTTCAGGGCCCCGGGTCACAGGATACCCTTTTTCCCTCTGGAGATCACTTTTCAAACTGCCCCTGCCAAGGAGCCATCGCTTAGAACATGCGGGCGGAGGGCATGGCCGGGGGAGGGCCGCCTGCCCGGCCGCCGGACCCTGGACTCCGGGCTCACAGGAAAGACAGTGCCCAAGAGCAGAAAGTGTTACAGGTTTCTGTCCTTAATGAAATTAAAAACCATAAAACCTGCAACTGTAGCTCACCTGACGCCTGTGGAAGGGACAAGCTGCTGAATTAGGAAGCTGAAACATTTGATACCAAATGACTATTAGTTTGTTCTTTTGTTTTTGATTTTCTTTTGGTATTTATTGTTTTCCACTTCTGTGTAAGCTACAAGATTTAACTCTAACCACTGGGAGAGGGTAAGGCGCACACACCGCAGCGGGCACTTCGGGGCACGAAAGGTTCTAACAGCTAACTTGAAGGAACAGATCTTTATCAGGCCCCCTTTTGCAATGAAGACATAAAACTATTAGCCTACCACATTTTTAGAACCATACTGTAGCCTGCCGGCGTTTGGCCTGAAGTAACATCCCTTAGGGACAGTGACTGGAGACACCTGGAGAGGCTGGGAGACAGAAGACCAAAGATCTAGTCCTGGTTCTGTGGAAACTTGGGCAAGTTACTCCACTTTCGTGTGACTGTTTCCTCAAAATATGAAACGACTGGTATTGACTTCTCCTGGAAATAGTGTGTGAAGCCAGACCGTGCGCCCAGACGCAGAACATCAGATATGCCCCAGGATTGTCGAGACGGGGGAAGAGGGAGACGGCAGAAGGGGAACAAAGTCAGCTGTGAAAAAGAAAAGACAGGCTTTCCAGTGACAGCCCTGTGTCCTTAAAAAAAAAAAAAAGACTGGGCAGTGATCGGAGACCTTTATCAGGAGTGCCAAGGCGATGGATTCCACGGGGATCCCAGAAGTCTTTCCTACAACTGGTGCGGAGACAGCTGGACAGCCACATGCATCAGGACAAAGCCAGACCCCGACCCCACACGGTGTGCAGGCATACCTCAGACAGTGTGCATTTGGTTCCAGACCCCTGCAGAAATGCTAGTATCACAACAAAGCAGGTCTAATCTTTTCGCTGTTGGAAGGTCTTGCCTTCAATTTGTAGGAAATGTAACACTACAACTCGGTATACACGTGCAAAGATGAGCTCCAAGTGAATCAGAGATCACTGTGAGAGTAAGCGATGAGACCTCGTAGAAGAAAACAGGCGCAGGTCCCCGTGACCGGGATCAGGCAGTGCTTTCTTAGATTTGATACCAAAAGCACAAGCAACAAAAGAAAAATATAGGTAGGTTGCGGCCAGGTAGCTCAGTTGGTTAGAGCGTTGTCCCAATAGGCCAAGGATGCAGGTTCGAGCTCCAGTCAGGACACATACAAGAAGCAACCAATGAATGAGTAAATAAATAGAACAACAAATCTCTCTCTCTCTCAAATCAATTTTAAAAAAGAAAAAAGTAAAAAGTCTTACATTTCATCAAATTGAAAACTTGTGCATCAAGGAAGTGAAGATGATCCACAGGATGGGAGAAAAATGTATAAATCATATACCTGATAAAGGACCAGTATCTAGAATATACAAATAACTCATATAGTTCAATAATAAAAAGACAACCCAATTAAAAATGGCAAAGGATAAACATTTCTCCAAAGAAGATACACAAATTGCCTGGCCAGTGTGGCTCAGTGGGTTGCGCGTTGTCCCATGGACTGGGAGGTCCCAGTTTGATTCCAGGTCAGGGCACATGCCTGGGTTGCAGGCTAGATCCTCATTGGGGGCGTGCAGGGGGCAGCCAGTCGATGTTTCTCTCTCACATAAATGTTTCTATCTCTCTCTTCCTTCCTCTCTCTCTCTAAAAAAGATCAATAAAAACATATTTTTAAAAAAGAAGATACACAAATAGCCAACAAGCACAAGAAAAAAAATGATCAACATCATTAGCCATCAGGGAAATGCAAATCAAAACCACAATGAGAGCACTTCACACCCACTAGGATGTTATAAACACAAAGACAGATAACAGCAAGTGTTGGTAAGGATTGGGGGGGGGACCCTCATGCACTGCTCATGGGAAAAGAAAACAGTTCAGCTGCTTTGGAAAACAGTCTGGCAGTGACTCAAAAAGCTAAACATAGGCCCTGGCCGGTTGCCGGTTTGGCTTAGCGGTTGGAGCGTCGGCCTGCGGTCCGGAGAGACCCGGGTTCGGTTCCCGCTAAGGGCGCGTACCTCGGTTGCAGTTTGTCCCTGGCCCTGGTTGGTCGTGCGGGTGGCAGCCACTCGATGTGTCCCTTTCACATTGATGTTTCTTCCTCTCTCTCTCTTCCTCTCTCTCCCTCCCACTCTATCTGAACAAAAAGTGGAAAAATGTCTTTGGGTGAGGATTAAAAAAAAAAAAAGCTAAACATAGAGTCACTATACCACCCAGCAATTCAACTCCTATGTATATTCTCAAGAGAAATAAAAACATACATGTACACAAAAACTTGTACAAATGTTTATTGCAGCATTATTCATAACAGCCAAAGTAGAAACAACTCAAATGTCCATCAAGTGATAAATGAATAAACAACATGTAGTATATCCATAGAATGAACTATTACTCAGCTATAAAAAGACTGAAGGACTAATATAAGTTCAATATGGAAGACCCTAGAAAACATTATGCTTAGTCAAAGGAGCTAGCCACAAAAGACCACATATTGTATGATTCCACATATATATAAAATGTCCAAAATAGGTAAAGCTATACAAAAAGTAGATTCATGGCTGCCTAGGACTCGGGGAAAGGTAGGAGGGACAGCAACTGCTAAAGGGGAAGGGTTTCTGTGGGGGGGATAAAAATGTTCTGAAATTGATCACAGTCGTTCTGTGAATTTACTAAAAACCATTGAATTGTATACTATAAATGAGTAAACTGTATGGTAAGTGAATTATATCTCAATAAATCTGTTACTGGCTCCTCCTCCCCCTCAAAAAAAAAGGAAAAGGAATCAGGACCCTGTCTTTACTCTGTAGGAATACCACACCTGTTGTCTCAAAAACTATTGCTAACAGCTCGCATTCACCGCAGCAGGGCCCTGGTTCGTGTGATAAGTGTACGTCGCGACCCATCACTGTGTGCTGCCAGGCAGGTGGCTTTGCCCCTCCGGCTTCAGCTCCCTCGTCTGTAAGACAAGGGCCACCCGGTCCCGGTCATTTCTGACCCTAGCACTGTACTCCCCCAAATCTCTACTCGGTTGGTCAAGGAGTTCACCATGCTTTGGAAGAGGAACCTAAATTAGCAAAGAGTTGAAGCCCTGGGCCAGTGTAGATTACTGGGTCCCAGGAAACAGAGGCAAGACAAAGAGGAATTCCTTAGTCTACCAGTTACTGATCCTCAAATGTCCTCACAGACCACTAAGAAGGTGACCCAATCACACCAACACAGGCAAAGTGCTCTAACCACACCCCCTACAAATGAAAAGATCAACATTTCAATGGGGCCCTTCCAGAAAATACAATGACCCTAGAAAACTTGGCAGGTTTGGCAGTAGGTAACCAAGTCTTCTTTAAACAGGATTTGGTGAGCCCACCCCAGAGGGCCAGGCATATGCTAGTCCAGGTGAGCTGCTCACACAATGGGATGATCATTTCCGGGTCCTTACCCCCGACTGCTAGGAAACAAATTATACCAGAGGAGCTAGAGAGGAATCGTTTTTTCATCCCTTTTATACTCATGAGAAAGCACCTAGAAATAGCCCCTCCACCCGCCTCCTCTCTCGCCCAGGTCCAGCTCTGTGCGGCAGGTCCCTCACGCACAGTGTGGTACCCACCAGACCCACGCGGAGAGGAGGGTCCACCTCCGGGCTTCGTAGCAGCAGACCCTTAGAAAAAGGTGACGTGAAAGAAGGCACAGAATAAACCCCACTCCCATCAGTCCATCCAAGAGCAGGACAGGCAGATGCTCACCAGGGTCATCGAGAAGGAAATCAACGTGAAGACAGGTGATCTGGTCTGTCCAGATCATGGAGTCAGCAGTCTCGGTCATGGCCCGTTACCACAGGAGAAGGCGAAGGCTGGGGGAGGAGGCTTTGTCTGGAGGCAGGAGAATGGTCAGAAGAACCAAGACATCGGCACCGAGACAGCCGCTGAACTAGCCTCCACCTAAGAGAGCGGGGCGCTCCAGAGCAGACGCCCCGACTGTTTGCCTCTTAAGAGTGGCAGGTCTGGGGGCGAGACCACGGAACCTTCCAAAGCTGCAGGCCAAGAGGAGGGAGCGGGGCCGTGGGTGTTCTGCATGCCAGAGACTCTGATCCGTGGGTTTCTGCTGGTCGCTGGTCTGTGGCTTTCGGAGGCCGAGCAAGGTCACTTCCAGCCGCAGTTTGCCCAGGGCGCTGCGGCCTCCAGTGGTGCGGTTCCTACATCCAAGGGGGTCCCGGGCCGGGAGGCGGCGGCGCTGCCCTCTGCTCAGAGGCCGCACTTCAGGATGATGTGGTAGCCATCGCTGCTCTCGGCTGCAAGGGGACACTGGGCGTTTTCCAGGGGAAAGGCCTGGTGCCTGGCACGGGGGCGTGGAAGGCATGGTAGGAGGGCGCCACAGAGCCCTGTCGTGCGTATTGGTAGAGACCACCAAAATGAGGCTGAAGCAGCGATGTCAGCGCATGCCTGCACACCTGTCCTGTGGGGTGTCTTCTGACAACGGGCCTTTCCTGGGAACGGGCCGGCTCTGGGCCAAAGGACCGAAGGGCCCATATCCCAGGAGGCGCTGGACAATCTGTCCCAGGGGATGTTACGGCCCCAGGGCCCAGCACAGTGCAGTATCCAGAACCCGGCCAGAAGGCTTTCGTTCTGACGGGCTCCATACACTCACTGCCCTGGACCTAAGGAAGGTCCCAGCCGGTCTTTCCTTCCTCCTGGCCCACGAGTTCTTTCTACGCCCCTTCCTCGGAGGGCCCTCCACGCCCCCCAGCCCAGGACCCCGGCGCCCAGCTCAGCCGCTGTGTTCCACACTCGCTCTTCCTGGGGGGCACACCCTAGTCTGCCAGGACTCCCCGCCAGCGACTCGGGGCCATCGCACTCATTCCCACACTCCAGGGCGGGTTCACAGGACCTTTGTGTTTCTTCCCCCAGGGCGTTCCCAGGGAGCACCCTCCAGAAGGGGCCCTGTGCAGACAGGCCCACCACCTCACCACATGCCCTGGGGTGCAGCCAACTTACTTCAACTACACGAGAAAAGTTGCGGGGCGGGGGGGGGGGGGGGGTGCTTTACCTTTTAAGGTACTGAGGACAAAACAGGATTCATCCTGGAAATTCTGCACCATCTGAAAGGAAAAAGAGAGACTGTGTCCCTTCAGTGAGGATTTCACATGTGCAAGCCTCAGAGACAGGGAGCCTGCCACCCTCAGAGACGACCGTCACCGCTTCTACAGGAATGCAGGCCAAGGTGACGCTTGACCTTCCCTGAGAAGTAACGATATAAAATAGTTACAAAATGACTACAATTTTTTTTTTTTTTTTTTATCATCCTCACCCGAGGACATTTTTCCATTCTTTGTTCAGACAGAGTGGGAGGGAGAGAGAGGAACAGAGAGAGAGAGAAACATCGACGTGAAAGGGACACATCGAGTGGCTGCCACCCGCACAACCAACCAGGGCCGGGGACAAACTGCAACCGAGGTACATGCCCTTAGCGGGAACCGAACCCGGGTCTCTCCGGACCGCAGGCCGACGCTCTAACCGCTGAGCCAAACCGGCCAGGGCTAAAATGACTACAATTTTAAGTAACAAAAAACTCAACATAAAAGACAGAAAGGAGCCTGGAAAGAAATCAAGATGTTATTAACCTTTTAACACGGGACCACATGTGTTTGTTTGTCCTGGTTCCTGGGTCTTCCAGGCCCTGCAGCCGCCACGGTAGAGGGCCCTGTATGTGGACAGCAGCACCAGACACAGCTGACGTGCCTGGAGACCTGGGCGCTGAGCAGGCCTGGCCTGAGCCCTCGGTGGACCAGCACAGGGTGGGCAAAGTGGGCTTACAGTTTGCGGACACGAGCCGCGGAGCTAATAGAGCTGTTGTAACGGCCATCACCTGCGGGTCTGTTTGCATAATGTAGACGGAGAAGGAGACACACTGACCCCGGCAGCGCGGGGAGGCCCGCGTGGAGGCCCGACAGACTCCGAGACCTGAAGTAACCACACAGGCGGGTCTGAAATTCGGACTTTCTAACTAAAAGCAGGTCATGGTGAGTAAGCATGCCCTGGGTTGGTATTTTTCCCTAACAAAGGTCAATCTTCACCTTAACTGAACCTGCCTGTCTTTTTGCAACTATGATAACATACCTGATAACATGCCTTTGGAATAACAAAGTAATTTCCTTTCCCCCCCCTTGGGCCTCTCAAAGCAGAGCCCACAGATCCCTCACTGTTATGCTCACCATGTTAGTTGTTACTGTTAACTATCCTATACCCTCCTACATAAAAATAAGCATGTGTTGCCTGCAGGTGGTGTGGCTCAGTGGACTGAACGCTGTCCCGTGGACTGAGAGGTCCTGGTTTGATTCCCAGTCAGGGCACATGCCCGGGCTGCAGGCTCGATCCCCAGTAGGGGGCGTGCAGGAGGTAGCTGATAGGTTTCTCTCCCTTCCTCTCACTCTAAAAAAATCAATAAAAACATTAAAATTTTTTTTAAAAAGTGCGTGTCGGTTATTTTCCTTTCTATGCACCCCCAGCCCACCCTCTGCTTTCTCCCCCTCCCTAATCTACCACCAATGAGTTTCATGTGACCCCTTATAGCTTCTCCTTTGATTTTTAATGTATAAAATAAGGTAAAAAGCTGCCGTTCTCCGGGGCTTTTTCTTAATCCATTGAGATTTTGCTTCCTGGAAACTGTCACCGGTTTGGCTCATATAAATTCATAAGAAATTCTCACAAGTTTGGACGGTTCTTACGGGGACAGTATGAACAGCAGTGCACCTCCTTTTGCCCGCCCCTACATAATGTGGCCGGCATCGAGGGCTTGCTCCCAGCCACCTGTCTGGAGTTCCCATTCCGATAAACCTCATGGCTTTGGACAAGTCCACCCTTTCCTTCCTCCCCATGCCCGGCCTGTAAAATGGGGCTGTTTCCATCAACAACATAACGACGTAGAGCCTGGGAGTTGGTGTCACTACTGGTGGGGTGACCGCTTTGCGGACCTTCCACGGGGCCTGCAAACACGCAGCTCTGCCCGCTAGGCGGACCCCTGGAGAAGCCACACGTGCGCACACAGGGCACGCCCAGGAATACTCGGTACCGCCCAAACCCAAACAGCACCGGGAGCAGGAACCAACCGCCTCACTGCCGTCCAGCAGCCCCTCAGCGCGCACGGACCGCAGAAACACCACTGGGACACCGAAGACGGCCAGAGGCACACACACCACTCCGCTGACACGCTGTGTTTAAACAGGCAAAATTAAACAATATACCGAGGAGGAACGAGGGAACGATTAATACAAAATTCAGCCCAGCGGGTGGAGAGGAACACAAAGTGAGCTATAGAGGGGCTTCTAACATATCGTGTTAACCTCGGGCAGGCACTGGACTCAACTCTTCGGGAAACTGTGCTCCTACGCTCTAGGCTTTGCCTGTGTGTGCTGTATTCCAAGATGTAAACGAAAAGAGTTCTAACAATACACCCCATACATAAACATCCCACTCACACCAGCCAATACGACAGCAAAACCCCTTTCCAATGTAAAAACTGCAACCACGCTTTATGGCCTGCTCTGGGTTATTGCCCCCAATCCTGCAGATCCATCCACCTGTAGGTCCTGCCCCACCCTGCAGGGCCTAATGGTGCGTGAAGCACATCGACTCCCTGCTGGCCTGCTCCCTCTAGGACCTTTGGCAGCCCAGCCACTTGGGCATGCAAAGCCCTAGGCAGAGCCCACACAGGCTTAATCAGTAACTGCCTCTTTAATTACCTGCCCCTGCTTCCAGCGCTCCGGGCAATTAAGAACCAAAGGTTTCCAATTGATTTGGGGTTACGAGGCAAGGAGACTTCGGGGAATAGGAATCGCCTATTTAGCTGAGGTGGCATTTGGGTTCTGTTCTCTGCTTCACTTGCTTAACTGCCTGCTCTGGAGGGCACAGGGCAGCTGGGGAAGGAACTTCCTTCAGAGACCCGTGAAATTGCAAGGGTGCCACACATTCTTGGCTTTTGTCTTCGCAGAAGAGATTTATTCTGCATTGCAAAGTGACAAGCTTTCTGTGCTACAACCACCACCCACTGCTCAGGGAGCTGAACCTTCCTGGCTCAGGTTAGGTTCTCCGGGCACAGACTCTGGGCTTCATTTTCTTGATCTATGAAATGGGGGTAAAAATATCGCTGCATTAGATTTGAACCTAAGGACATGGGAGGGATTCTGAGCAGGTGATGAAACAGCCAGTTGCAGGTGAATGTACAGCATGCTTGAAAAACGCACGCGTACACACTCAGGCACACGACGGACACGGCACACGACAGACACGGGCACATGAACCATCCGGCAGAATCTCAGTGAACCTCACGCAAACTCCTCCAGGAAAAGAGGGGGGACGAGGGCCTTCCACACTTGCCTTCTGCGCTCCAGGCTGCTTGCCCTCCACTCTGTGAAATCCCTCGTTAATTACAAAGGAAGGAAACACCGCCTTGCGGACCCGGCTGAGAGGGCCTGAACCAAGCCTCCCACCTCAGGGGCTCCAGCGATTGCACGGAGGAGGAGCATGGGACTATCACTAATGACAAGTTACGAAATAAATATACAGATCGTTAAAAGCCGTACGTTTTATACACTGTCAAACGCAAAGATCTGTCCATCACCTGCTCCCCACAATAACAAGTGCCCAGCACAGTCCTTATAACATCCCCTGCTTATCTGGCATCTCCTGGCACCTAACAGCTTTCTCGTTTTATCCTTACCTGCTCGACAGGCATAATTATCCCTGTTCTACAGATGTGAAGACTGAGGCTCAAAGAGGTTCAGTCACGTTACCCGAGGATGCTCAGCTCCCAGGAGCCAGTTCCCGGTGGGGACACCAGTCCAGTTCCAAACACACCCCTTCCTCTGCACCCCCAGCCCCCGCTCCAGCACTTTCCTGTGCAACCACACAGGCTGAGTCCCGAACTCGCTCAGGGTCTGCGGGGGGCTGCGCAGGGGCTCAGGGCCCCAGCTCTGCTCCCATCAGCCCATCTGTGTTCAGACGGTCATTTCAGGAGAGGCTGGCAGCCTGCTGGCCTGGCGGCCGGGCTCTGCAGCTGGACCACCAGGGTTCCCTCCCGCTCCAGCCCTGGCGCTGAGCCTGTCTGTGCCTGCGCTTCCTCCCTGGGAAACGGGCTGTCACAGCACCCTCCCCACAAGGGAGGCTATCAGAGTGACATGGGTGGTGCGTGGACTTGGGATAGCAGTGGGACCGCTCAGCACTCGGTGGCGCTGGCGCCCCTTACTACCAGTGTTACAGGAAAGGTCCAGGCAGAACAAGGTTAGAAACTTCTGCTCTGCACCTTGCAGGAAGGGCCCTGGCCGGTGCTCAGTGGTTAGAGCGTCGGCTGTGGACCGACTCGCAGGGCACGTACCTTGGTGGTGGTTCGTCCCCAGCCCTGGTCGGGGTCGCACGGGAGGCAACCAGTCAATGTGTCTCTCTCGAATCGATATTTCTCTTTCTCTCTCTCTCCCTCCTACTCTGTCTAAAGATAAATGGAAAAATGTCCTCGGGTGAGAATTAAAAAAACAACTTGTAGGAATGGCCACAAGTGTCAGTCAGCGTGGTGAACAACCCCACCTTAGCCGTGAGTGGACTCAGATCACTCGAGGGCACAGTCCCAGCAGGGCCCTGGTCAGCACCTGTGCCCTCTGCCAGCGGCTGCCTGCGCCCTGGACAGGTCTGGACGGCCAGTGACAGGCCCAGGAAGGCTGTGGCACCTTCACCGCTCAGCAGAGGAGACACCTCCACCCTGCCGCTGCCCCGGGCGGGCACCCTTCCCTGCCCCCTGCGGCCCTCACTGCGAGCACCCTGGGGGCAGGGGATCAGCCTGCGCTCCTGGCTCCTGGCCGAGGCTGAGGGATGGAGTGGACACTCGATGGCCGTTCAGAACTCTCTCCCTCACATACTCCACGCGGCTGCTGCGGCGTCAGCACGTGGCAGGCAGATACAACCCGTTTGCCATCTTCGGGCTAAAGGCACCCCGAAGCCCACCGGTGTTATTTCTGGTGCAGGTTCTGCTGCTCCTCCCTGGAGCCTGAGCCCCAGCTCACCAGGGCCGGGCAGGCGGCAAGCTCACCTCGTTGCTGACCACCACGTGGATGCCCGTGGGCCCCTGCCGGTAGACTCGGTGGATGTGCTGTGGGGAGATGCTGTACAGGCTGGCGATCTTCTCAACCAACTCCAAGGTGGTCAGCTCTTCCAAGAAGATGGCATGGTACACTGGAGGGGGGGACAGGTTCCTCTATAGAACAAGCACCGGCTCCTGAGGAACACGCTGCCCCTCACCCCACCCCACCCCACCCAGAGAAGTCAGAAACGTCCTCGTGAGGCTGCTCCTGCCCAGACGGATTCCATGGGGCTGGGCTGGTAGCCGCATGGCCTCGGTCCCACCCATCGGAGGAGAAAGGATGCCAGGCTGTGGTTCTTTTTTTTTAATCCTCACCCAAGGACATTTTTCCATTTTTTGTTCAGGTAGAGTGGGAGGAAGAGAGAGAGAGAGAAACATCGATGTGAAAGGGACACATCGAGTGGCTGCCACCCACACGACCAACCAGGGCCGGGGACAAACTGCAACCGAGGTACATGCCCCTAGCGGGAACCGAACCGGGGTCTCCCTGGACTGCAGGCCAACACTCTAACCGCTGAGCCAAACTGGCCAGGACCAGGCTGTGGTTCTTTTTTCCTGGTTCCTTCTCTCTTGGGGGACTTACATAAAATGCAGAATTCCTGGATCCACCCCAGACCCAGGGACATCCACTCAGGGCTGGCGGCTGGCAGAAATCTATTTCTCACAAGCTCCCGGCCACTCTGCCGTGCAGACAGGCCCTCGCCGCAGAACGGAGGAGGGATCTGTGTCCCTTTCCTTTCTCCCCGTTGCTTAAAGGGGTCCCTGGATGCTTCAGGTGGCAGAGTGGTGTAAAGGTAATTGCTACGGGACAGCAGAAGAGAGGGGGTCTCCTCCTGCCCTTCTCCACAGCACAAATAACAGTCCGCTTGGGCACTGGGACCCCAAAGAGAGAAGGGAGCGTCATCGGCCTGTCAGGAAGTAAGGGTGACCCTGCGGCTGGGGCGGCTCCTTATACGAATCCCAAGCCATCCAGGCAGCACGAGCTCCGCGGAGACCCGGGCGGGTCACTCAGTGTGCAGGGGCCTCGTGTCCCTCAGAACTGAAACAGCTGCTTAGACCAGAGGCTCCCAACTCCTCCCTCAACCAAGGAACCCTCAGGTCAAAAGTATCCAATCACAGGCCCAACTTTAAACAGTATGCACACGTACACACACAGGCACACACATGTGCAAGACACGTAACCACCACACGCGCACGCAGTGGGTCTTTCTGAAGCGGGTGGCAGAGGCCACGAGGTTCTAGCCACGTGACAGATTTACCTTCCCACGATTTCAAACATGCTGACCCACCGTTCGGTTCTGCCCAGAACGCGTGGTCCCGTGTGACCCCCTCCAGTACGGCCCAGGCCCCCCCGGGGCTCCTCAGCCACGGAACGCTAACGGCGCCGCTCCTCCCCCGCTTCCCAGAGCCTGTCCACGGTTTCTGATTCTACTCCTCAGAGGAGTCGGACTGCGCTGAAGAGCAGCTGGAGGCATTGCAGGCCGGCACCTTTTGTTGGCAGCGTCTGTCCCTGGCCTGGCCTGCCCCCGCTGAACACGGCCACCGGAGAGCCTGGAGCTGGCAGGGGGGGGTCGGCCACTCCGAACTCCCCCACGCCTCCTCCCGTCAGGGCAGCGTGGGGGCAGTTTGGGAAACAAGAGGATCTAGATCGGGCAACCCCGGTTCAAGTCTAGACCCCGCCACCCAGTGGAAGCGAGACCCCGGCCCATCTCCGCACCTCCGGAGCCTGGGGGTGCCGCCAGCACGAGCGCCCAAGGGCCACCGCAAGGCCCGTGCGAGGAACACCGGCCCCAGGCTGCACCCCCGTGTGGAGACCACGGCACCCGGCTCTGTGCTTCGCAGGCTGAAGGCTGCAGGGCAGGGGGCGGACAGGACCGTCACCAGAAGCACAAAGGCCACACTGAGGGCTCAGAAGTCAGCCACCAGGGTGCAAAAGTCTGGATGCTGGCTCTGCCACTTATAACACTGTCACCTTGGGCCAGTCACCTGTGCCTCGGCTTCCCCCACAGTGAAACAATGTTAGCAGCAGTTCCTAATGTGAGAAGCAAGTAAGTGAATGCGCGGGAAGCCTTAGGCGGGAGCTTTAGCATTCAGGACAGGGAGGGACTTGCAGGAGGCAGACGGGCTCCCCCTGCAGAGGACATGGAGCCCGGACGCAGGTGAGGACGAGCTCACCAGACTCCCCACTCACAGGCGCTCAGCAGCGAGGAGCTCGCCAAGCATCACCTCACTGAAACCTGCCCACCCGTGTGGCGGGTGTTGCTCTCCTCATGTTATACACGTGGAAGCTGATGCACAGGCCTGGCACCCTGCTCAAGGACACGGCCACTAGGGGGCGTGGCCAGCACTGGTGTTCAGGGATAGCTGACCTCAAAGCATGTGTCCTTTCTCAAATTGCCTCAGAACCCCCAACCCAAAGCAGTCATGTGTCCCTGAGGGGCTCTGGGACCCTCACAACTCACTAGGCAGACTGTGGTCCCCTCCACCGTCCCCTGGAGCCAGCCGCGGTGGGCAGGCCCCTCACAACTCACCACACAGCCCTGGCTGGTTTGGCTCAGCGGTAGAGTGTCGGCCTGCGGTCCAGAGAGACCCAGGTTCAGTTCCCGTTAAGGGCATGGACCTCGGTTGCAGTTTGTCCCCAGCCCTGGTTGGTCGTGTGGGTGGCAGCCACTCGATGTGTCCCTTTCACGTTGATGTTTCTCTCTCTCTCTCTTCCTCTCCCTCCCTCCCACTCTATCTGAACAAAAAATGTAAAAATGTCCTCGGGTGAGGATAAAAAACAAAAACTCACCACACAGACTGTTGTCCCTGCCACCGTCCCTCTTCTGCTGCAGCGGCGCCCGGCTCTGCTCCACCTCCTGGCAGACATAAATGGTCATCTTTGGCCTCACATTCCTGGCGGGAAGAAAGGAAACAAATAGCAGGTATGGGGACCCAGCTCTGCTGTTCCAGGATGTTCCAGCACACAGGGCGGGTCCGCAGTGGGGAGGATGCAGGGAGAAGGCATGCGGCTGTGGGTGCAGAACGCCTCTGAGGGGCGGGGCGGAGGCCCAGCCAGGCCGACCTGCGACGGGGGCTCTGCCCAGGACTCGCGTCTCCAGAACAGGCACCTCTCAGGGCCGTGAGAGCAAACGCTTTCTCTGCCCTACTCTGCACCAGGCACCATTCCAGAACTTTCCGTGCATAATCGTTTCCTCCTCACGCCTGTGAGGCAGCACGGACCGTCGTCCCCGGTGCGCCAGGAGGAAACTGAGGCTCGTGGGGTCTAAGGGCTTCCGCCCGCTGTAAAGCTCCTGGCAGAGCCGGGTTCAGACCCGCTTCACCCACTCTGACTGCTATCCGTGTGCAGCCCTCAGAACCCACACTCGTTCTAGTTAAAGCATAACTTCCCTCGTCAGTCCCGTCAGCCTCCGAGCAGGCGCCGCAGGGCCCAGGGGCAGGCTTCCGATCAGTGCACAGAGCCTTCCTGTCACGGCAGGAAGTCCCCTCAGGACATGGCACTGCTCCATGGTCACCCTAAGAACCAGCGCACGGGGCTGGGCAGCCTCGGGGGTCCACAGCTTCCCCGGGGAGCAGGCGGCCTGAAGCCAGACCATGCAGGCACCTGACCGAGATCCCGAGGTCAAGGCTCCGGGCAGACCCAGAGGGAGGGCCTGCAGGCAGGGGTGCTGGCTGCCTCTCAGTCTCGGCCTCTTGCTCCGCTGCAGCCCGGGCCCCTCTCACCATCCCCTCCTGCACTTGCCCAGAGGACCCGCTGTCGGCTTCCTGCCACACCTGCCTCCCGCTGGACTGACACCCACCTGCCCTTGATGGCGTTGAAGAGCCGGATCCCATCTGCGGGGCCACAGATCTGGACCAAATCATCTCGCGACATCTTCAGCAAGTCAGCACCTAGGCGGGTCAACGGGGCTGCCTGTCATGTGGGACCACAGGAAGGCTCCATGCCCAAGTCCCCGCAGACCCCGCACTGGGGGGCCGGGGAGCCAGCCTCGCCTCAGGGGGTACCAGGCATGCCATGGAGAGAAGCAGCGAAGAGCCGAACATCGGATCACCGCCCGAAAGCTGTCAGAAGCGAAATGACTGGCTTTCCCAGGAGGCGGGAGAACGGGTGTTTGCAGAAGCCTGTGCCTGCTGCCCCTCCGTTGGGACTGTGCTATGGGCATGCAATGCAGGCACATCTCGGTGGCGTGTGGCATTGGTGACACGTGCAGCCGTCTGTCTGCAGGACACATGCCCACCGGCAGCCAGCACGCGGATCACAGTCCCGGCATCCCACAGGCCCCTCTGCCAGCCACGCCCCAGCCCTGGGGAACCGCTGTCCTGGCTTCTTATCGTATAGATGAGTTCTGCTTGTTTTTTGAAAAGTATGTAAATGAAATTGAACAGTCGGTACTCTGATGTCTGGCTCCCGCCCTCCAAGTCCTGTTTAAGGGCTTCTCCTACCGTATGTAGTTACAGACTTCGTGCCCTTGATTACATATGATTCATTCATGATTGTGCACAGTTCACACAGCCACTCCTTGCTGATGGGCTCAGACCGGCTGCGCGAACCAGTCTCTGAACATCCTCGTGTGAGGACGCTGTCCCTTCCGCGATGGCCAGGCAGTCCCCTAAAGCCTGTGACCGTGTGGACTCTCCCCAAGATGCAAGCAAGACATCAGCCTCCTGCTGAAAACCTGCCACTAGCCACCTGGGCTAGAACCACAGATTCCCTCCCTTTTTCCTGCCACAGTTAGTACCCTGGTTTAGGTACAATTCTGTGGGCACCCTTTGGGAATAAAAGCACCCTGGCTGGTGTGGCTCCGTGGTTGAGTGTTGTCCCGTGCACCAAAAGGTGTGGTTCCATTCCCGGTCAGGGCACATGCCCAGGTTGTGGGTTAGATCCCTGGTCAAAGTGTATAGGGAGGCAACTGATCAATGCTCCTCTCTCACATCGATGTTTCTCTCTCTTTGCTTCTTCCTTCCTCTCTCTCTCTAAAATCAATAAAAACATTTTATTTAGAAAGCTGGGCAAGCCGGTCCAGGGTCCATCAGGGCCCCTCAGTGCTTCTCCGATGCCACCTGCTCCCCCGGTCCCCGGTCCACTCAGCCCGTCCCTGCTCCACGGCCACACAGGCAGGTGTCTGCCTAGCAGCCGGTGCACTTTCCCTCTGCTTGGGAAGCTGACGCCCAGCCCACCCCAGGCCCACCTGGCTCGCTCCCCTGCCTAGTTCCAGCCTTTGCTCAAGACACCTTCGCAGTAAGGCCCACGCTGACCACCCTGCTGAGGACACAGCTGGCCCTTCCGCCTCCTCCGCCAGGACAGCTCAGGTCCCTCCTCTGAGCCTTCCCATCAGACGGGTCGCAAGGCCCGAACTGTCAGGTCATCTGCTGGGTTGTGTCTGTGCTGACTCCTGCGGGGCAGGGCCCCTGTCTGGGCCTCCGTGTGCCCCACCCCCCCACTGCCACAGACGTCCTGCAGGGCCACTTCCCGTGCTGGCCCTGTCACTTTGGACTGACTCCCGGGCGGCAAGGCTCCATGCTCCTTACCCTTGCACCCCACAGTCCCCCACTCAGGGCTGCTGCCTGCAAAGCCATCAGCAAGGGGTTCAGAACCCAGCCATGCCTGCTCCTCGCGCTCGGGATGTGGCTCTGGACAGAGGCGACGGGCGTCTGGCAGGTGGGTGCCAGGAGGCTCGTTGCGCATGTGCTGGCCTGCTGGCTGGAGGTCCTACCCACAGACCAGAGCCCACCCCAGGTGAGGGGGTCCAGATAAAGGTACCAGGTGACCTTCCCTTAAAGCCGCACCCATCGGCAAACATCTAGGGTCAGGACCCCGGCTCCCAGCACTGGCCCAGGTCAGCAGGTGTGGGTGAGTGACCCACACTCCTCTGGGTCACCAGGACGAAACCACAGCCCCACAGGCACTGAGGACTGGGGGCAAGTCCCGGAAGGTCACAGGCCTTGCCGAGGTTCCCGGTCCCGGCGGTCTGGAGACACTCACCGGAGAAGCTGGCGAACAGCCGGCAGAACTGCGAGAACCGGTTGCGGTGCAGCCACTGCTGGGCGTCCTGGATGGAGGCGGACGGGAGCAGGTGCTGAAGAGAGAGGGGGCCTTGAGGTGCGGGCTCGGTGCGCCCAGGGACAGGGACCGAGCGCCGCAGACACTTACGTCACTGCCCACGGGCAGGGCCTCCACCGGGTGGGGGTGAGTCGGCGAGCTGTTGCTACAAAGGAAGAGAGCCGGCGGTGAGCACCTGTGGGCAGGGGGTGGTCTCAGCTGCGGGCGCTGAACTGCCCGGTCAGAGGACGGAGGGGGGAGCCCACCCCACTCCTCCAAGGCCCCCATCGACTTTTCAGTGTGGACAGATGAGCTCCACGCTCTCGGCCAGCAATGACCCATCCACTCGAGGCTCCGGGTTCACTGGGTCGGATTCCCTCCCACTCGGAGCTGGAGCCCAGCCTGAGCCGAGGGGAGACTCACGCAGCACCCAGGGGCCGGTGCGGGCAGGGCAGCGGCTCGCTGTGCAGGGAACCAGCGCCCCCGTCCGGCGTCACCCATGAGAGAAACAGTGCCGTGGACCTTCCCCACGGGGACCCCTGACCCTCCCCAGGGGCCACTCAGGGCCACAGACTGAGAAAGACACGTTCAAGGAAGACCCTCCCACACAGACAGTGGTGATGTACGGCCGGGGTGCTGTTCGTGTCTGAGCAGCACAGTGCAGATGGCCCAGTGCGAGTTTCCCGCGGTCTGCTTTACCGCAGTGAGAAGGAGGGCCTCACGGGCGACCCTGGGTCGTGAGCACAGCTGCGCTCCCTCGGGGGTCTGTGGCACGTCAGGAACTACGCTTTGCAGTGGGGGGATCGAGCTGAGGATGGCAGAGGAACTTGCCCCCCGAAAAGTGCAGATCTAAGGCTCGGTCTGCCTGAACCCGAATACACACCTGTCCCGTCCCCCGCCCCTCCGGAGCTCTGCTCCCCCGGCACATCGCGCAGGGCTTGCTTCCCCGTTAGCCAAGCTCTCTGTCTGCCCAGCACGGGCTTTGAGGGGCCGCACACTCACCTGATGAACCCGCCTGGCACCCCCCAGCAGCAGGACGTGCAGAGCCCCCTGGCGGCACTGTGGGCCTTGTGTGTGCAGCCTGTGGGGCCGGACAGCGGCCCACCAGCCCGACTCCTGGCCCCTGGAGTCAGCTCAGCCTGTGCGGTCGCAGGGCTGGCGACCCGCAAGGAGGCCTCTTCCGCATTACAAGCCCTAAATTCGGGGAGGACCCTGCGCTGCCCCACACTGCCCAGTGAGTGTGCACGGGCTGCCAAGATCCAAGACCCCGGCAGCCACGGGCCACCACACACCTGCCTCCCAAGGCCCGGCCCGTCTGGAGACAGGTCATTCTGCCCAGGGTGCCTGGAGGCACCCCCGACACTGCCCCGGCGCCCAGCAGGCCGGCTGCTGCCTTCACTGGAGGAGGGGCTCGTGGGTTCCGGCCACTGCCCTGCCGGACAACATTTACAGAAGTTACCTAAGCACAACAACCTGGATAGATGCCGAAACAGACGTGACTGCAACCCCAGTGAGCCCTTGTGAAGCCCACATCATTGCCAGGCTACCAAAGAGAAGACCTGAGGAGGAAGGCCAGGTAAGGAACCCACACCTGTCATCACTCCAGAGTCCAAAGGGGAAAGGTCGCACATACCCTTCGCCAAGGCCGAAGCTGTTTGGAGAGCCGTTGTAGCTTGGGGACGGGGCGCTGGTCACCTGGTAGTTCATGTCGGGCCACGGAGAGCACTGCGGAGGAGGGCACAGGGCGGCGGTGACCTGAGGGCAGTGGCCCCCAGCAGGCGCGGGATCTGCCAAGGTGCTGACCCCGGGTGCCCCGAGCTGTACCAAGCAAGCACCCACTGAAGCTGACTTGTAACCACTGACCCTTCAACACTCAACCTGCATTTGCCCTGTGGCCACATGAGCCACCAAAGAAGCAAATACAGCAGCGGAGACTGAACGTGCAGAAAGTCATCCCTGGAGCAAGCAAAGTGTGACCTGTGTCTGTGAGCTTCCTAGTGGCCAAACCAAAGAGGGAAACATCATCAGTATATGATCTCTGGGCCTCCAGAAAAGGGGGAGAAAACAAACAGGGCAGTTGCCCACCAGCAGGATTTCCTAGGGCAGACAGATGGGTGTAAAGGCACAAAGCAGGGAGCACTGGACCGCAGACAACTTCCGAACAAAAATCGCCCGTGAAGTCCAGCGTCAAAACCTGCCATACTTAAAACCAGAACCTGCAAAGGGCCTTCCGCAGTCAGCGAGGGTGGCGCTCTCCCGCACAGGCCCGAGCGTCTGTGCACGGCAGGCACCCTCCACGCCACGGCAGACGCAGAAACACGAAGACCTCACCTCCACCTCAAGGAACTCTCTGTGCAGAGGCCAAAAATGCACCCAGGGGAGAGCATCCCAAAGAGAGCAGACACCGGGCCTGGCCTGCGGGGAAGCCGTGGACAAAGTGTTCATGCCCTGCCTTCCTCACGACGGCACCTGGGGAGACGGCCCGTAGCCATCGATCGGGGCTGGCAAGTCTTGCCCCTGGTGTCAGCGTGGGCTGGACTTTTTGGTGTAAATCCCAGAGGAACAAAACTGATGAGTGAGAGAAGGGGAGCTGTCCCCTGCCAGGTCACCGGCCAGGTGGGCGCTTCGACCAACACACCGCAGTGGCAGGGCTTGGACGGCCGCTGCATGGAGCACACTCCTCTCCGCCACGAGTCACGGAGCGCCGGGTGACAGCCCAGTGAGGCTCAGCCCGCAGGACGAGGAGAGCTTGGCGGCCACCGGGCGCGTCCTCGGCAGCACAGGCAGGACGAGGCCCGGGAACAGCTCACTGCGGGGGGAGGGGCGGCAGGATCCTCTGGCCACTGTTATCCTCAGATACACGCCCGCACGCCTCTGTCTCTGCCCCAAAACCAGCTTCCAGTCTCGCGGCAGATACCCTTCTGCATATGGCCCACTGCAGGCGCACACCCCAGGCCCGTCCTCGGAGACGCTCCGTGCCTGGCCGCACCCTCAGCACAGCCTCAACCCCGCCACGGCCTCTGCCGGGCCTTTGCATCTGTGGGGCTCTGAGTAAGTCAAGTCACCCAGTGAACGAACACCGACACCTAGTCACGGCTCACAGCAGAACACAGAGGGAACGGTTGTTTGAAACGGCACAGCAATAACAGAGGTGGCACCGGCGGTGACCTGTGACAGGACAAGGGGCCTGTGACAGTGAGCATCTCAGAAGTACCCTGGACCAAAGGATGGAGCAGGCTGGTACCAGCATCAGGGTTAAGAGAAAATGCATTCTGCAATCTACCCAAACAAAACAGAAGGGCTCACACCCTCGGGCCCAGCAACCCTGCCCTGAAAACTGAGGCCTGCAGACATCTTCCCAATGCAGAACTTCCCAGCACCCCCCACCCCCAAAAGGCAAGAGACCGGAAACAACCAAACGTCCACCACACGACACAGGCAGCGCAGCTGGGTAAAGAACTAGGCAGCCTAGGGAGCCGACGCCAAGACATGCTACTAAGTAAGCAAAGCCAGCTGCAGAACAGCATGCCCCTGTGCACTGCTGGTGTGAAAAGTCCAGTCTGCATGGGACTCGCTGGCCGGGCAAGCTGGGCCAGATACGGGAGGGACCAGAGATGCTGGCTGCCCAGGGGAGAGAAACCGCGAGGCTGTTAGCAATGGTGGGAGAGAGACTTCCTAATGCACATTCTCTTACCCTGCTTGAATTTTGGAACTATTACCTGTCTTTAAAAAGAGACGCCCTGATTTTGAAAAGTACGAATGGCAGGGGAGAGCTAGAAGTTATTTCTGAAACACCTTCCTGGCCACTGGGCCTTACCAGATGAACACAGCTCCAAACGGAACACACCCCACTCAATGGGTGCTCTCAAAACAAGCGTCCACTCAAGGTGGGGAATCTCCTGAGAATCTAACCTGACAGCGCCACTGGCCAGCTCCTGGCAGAAGCTCGGGCTCACCCAGCACCCGGCCAGCCCACCCAGCTCCCGGCCGGCCCACCCAGCTCCCGGCCGGCCCACCCAGCTCCCGGCCGGCCCACCCAGCTCCCGGCCGGCCCACCCTGCTCCCGGCCGGCTCACCCAGCTCCCGGCCGGCTCACCCTGCACCCGGCCGGCTCACCCAGCTCCCGGCCACCTCACCCTGCACCCGGCAGGCTCACCCTGCACCCGGCCGGCTCACCCTGCACCCGGCCACCTCACCCTGCACCCGGCCGGCTCACCCAGCTCCCGGCCACCTCACCCTGCTCCCGGCCACCTCACCCTGCACCCGGCCACCTCACCCAGCTCCCGGCCACCTCACCCTGCACCCGGCCGGCTCACCCAGCTCCCGGCCACCTCACCCTGCACCCGGCCGGCTCACCCAGCTCCCGGCCACCTCACCCTGCACCCGGCCGGCTCACTCAGCTCCCGGCCACCTCACCCTGCACCCGGCCGGCTCACCCAGCTCCCGGCCACCTCACCCTGCACCCGGCCGGCTCACCCAGCTCCCGGCCATCTCACCCTGCACCCGGCCACCTCACCCTGCACCCGGCCACCTCACCCTGCACCCGGCCGGCTCAGCCAGCTCCCGGCCACCTCACCCTGCACCCGGCCACCTCACCCAGCTCCCGGCCACCTCACCCTGCACCCGGCCACCTCACCCTGCACCCGGCCACCTCACCCAGCTCCCGGCCATCTCACCCTGCTCCCGGCCTCTACGTCACACCCTCAGCCCTCGCACACCGGCCACTCACCCAGTCACCGGCCCAGGCCTCACCCAGCATCCCGGGTCCGACCTCCAGCCCTGCTCCCGGCCGGCTCACCCTGCTCCCGGCCGGCTCACCCTGCACCCGGCTGGCTCACCCAGCTCCCGGCTGGCTCACCCAGCTCCCGGCCGGCTCAGCCAGCTCCTGGCCGGCTCACCTCGGTGAGAATGGTGGTTTCATAAGACGGCTGGTACTTCTCCTTCTCTTGGGCGGTTCTCTTCTCCATCTTCTCCCGGTCAGTCTTCTGCTTCCGGTCTGCTCCCTTCGGCTACAAATGCAGGAGTCCGATTAGTCCAAAGCAGCTAGAGAAGGCCGTCCTTGGAGGACCCTGAGCAGTGGTCCCCAAACCTGCCAAAGCCCAGGCAGGACCTTGTGGACAGGACAGCAGCCCGCACTTCCCAGACTTCAAACACACAGTCCTCCCGCCCGGGGTCCTTCCCTCCCAAGGGGACTTGGAGCCTGCTGCGGGGTCCTGGGGCCCTGCCACTCTCAGGGACACACCTGGAAAGGTCTTTAGCAATGGCCATCCGCTGAGAGAAAGAAGCCCTGCCCTGCCCTGGCCGGTTTGGCTCAGCAGTGAGCGTCGGCCCACGGACCAGAGTCCCAGTTCGGTTCCCACTAAGGGCACGTGCCTTGGTTGCAGTTTGTCCCTGGCCCCGGTTGGGGTCATGTGGGTGACAACCAGTCGATGTGTCTCTCTCACGTCGATGTTTCTCTCTCTCTCTCTCTTTCTCTCTCTCTCTCTCTCTCCCTCCTTCCCTCCCTCCCTCTCTCCCTCTCGCTCTATCTGAATATAAAGGCAAAAATGTCCTCAGGTGAGGATAAAAAAAAAAAAAGAAAGACGCCCTTGAGGGCCATGACAGCCCAGTGCACTCCGGGTTACCGTGGGGAGTGGAGGGAAGAGGGAGCTGGGCTGCTGGTCGGGTTTGGCCCACACTTGCAGTCTGTGACCTCCCAGACCGCCAGGAAGACCTCCAGGCCCCAACCCCAGGGCTCTGCCACTCGAGACTCACACCACGCGCGGGGTGGGGTCTCCGCCCTGGCAGGGCTATCCTGGTCCCAGCAAACTCGAAGGACCTCCAGGTGTGCACACCTCACTACACTCCCTCATCCACAGGTGGAACATCCAGGTGTGAGAGCCCAGGGATGCACCACCTCCAGGCTGCCGAGCAGGCTGCTGATGGGAACCCAGACTCTCACCAACTAGGAGCCCAGTGGGGCTGGTGAGCTCAGAGAGCAAGCCGCCCAGCGGCCTGGGGCTGAGCAGCGCCTATGCACCCGCAGACCACACGGTGGGCAGTCAGCGAACGAAGTGCGTTCTCGATTCAACGGCATCGTCAAGGGCTTCACCTGCACGCACCTTCCTCGGGCACGGCTTCTGGCTCCCAGCTCAAGGGGTTTTAGGAAACAGCTCGGGGTGGTGCCCACTCTGGACAGAGGTGGTTTGTAGGGTCACATGGGGACATACATGACAGATTGAGTCCGGGGGAGAGTAGGCAGGTGGCACCAAAGCCATCACCTGCTCCACCTCCAGGCCCCAGTCCTGAGAAGATCCCAGAAGACACAGAGTGAGGGGCCCTGTCTTCCCTTTCAGAGGCCCTGATACCCATACCGAACCCCAGGGCATGACTCCAAGAAGCCAGGGCTTCCCAGGAACTGGGGTGACCAGGGTGGGAGAGCGGTGGACAGTTCGGCTGGACTCTGCCTGGCCCGTGCAGACACCTGTTGGAGCCGCGCTGTGTGGTGTGGGTGACAGTGCCTCCTGGGCATTCTGAGGAGCCGCTTCCACTGACGGGGCCCCTGCTCCCTGCAGGAGGTGCCCAGACCTTTCTCGGGCGACTGGCACACGGCAGCTTCTGGCCCAGTTCCCCAAAGTATAGCTGGTGTGTGGTCAAGGAGCCTGGTGGGCAGGGCCCCCGCTGCTGAGCTTCTGCCTCAGGTGCAGAAAGGAGAGCTAGCGGGGGGCCATGGGAAGGACTGGGCGCTCCATGGGCGTAGAGACCCCACCCTGCTCCTCTCTTACTGCCCAGCACGGTCTGGGCCGCAGGGCACGGTGTGAGCGCGTGGAGGCCACTGGACGCCCTGGACAAGGACGTGAACACTCTCTGAGGGCGGATGTGGTCTGTCTGTGATGGCAGAGGGGTGGGCTGGAGAGGTGTGCCGCTGGGGAGACATCCACAGTGACCCCGAATCAAAAATCCTGGAGCAGGCAGCAAAACCAAGGTTACGACACCCCCTGTACCACGGTGGGCAGAGAACCAGTCCTACCCCCAGGACCTGGGAGGGTGTCAAAGGAGCAGGCTTGTGTGCCATCAGGTTACTCCTAGTGAGAGATCACAGCTGATCCCGGGTCCGCCCAGTGGGCCCACAGAAGAGGAGAAAGAGCAGGGCCGAGTGACCCGTGCGAGGCCTCAAACCCCCTCACTGGCCCTGAGGATGGAGACGCAGGAGCCAAGGAACGCAGAGGCCGGAGAAGCTCCCCGGGGCTCCGGCAGGAATGCAGCCCGCTGACACGTTGGCTCTACCCCAGGCAGCCCGTCGGACTCCCGAGCTGCAGCTCCGACAGCCTGTGTGTCGTTTTCAGCCAGAACCGGCGGCAAGTTGTCACAGCAACAAGGGACAGACAGCGCGAAGCTCAGCTTCCTGAGAGGCCGAGTTCAAGGCTCAGATCCCAAACAGGTTTCTGAAAGGTGCTGCTGCTCTGTCGAGACGACCCCCCCCCCCACGCTGCCCTCCCTGCCCCCACAGGCCCATCGTGGGAACGCGCCGGCCGCCCGCCTGTGGCCCCCACGTGCAGGCCCATCAGCGCTGCTCTGCTCCCCACAGCTGCTGGGATCTGCCTGCCCCGAGTCATGCCAAGGGCTCACTGGGCACCAGGCTCTGCGGAAGGTGCTACAAACGGCACCGTCCCTGTCTTTCCTTGGGAGAAAACAACAATTTTTAAATGTGCAAGTCCCGTCAAATCTTATGAAGCAGAGATGTGACGATGAAAGCGGCGGCGGCACCCCAGGACACGCGGGGGCGCAGGCAGGAGCCAGGCCAAGGCACACCGCGCTCCTCGCTGGGCCTCCGCGCAGAGCTGCGAGGTCTGGTATCGCTGCCCAGCAGTGGCGAGCGCAGGTGTGCCGTGGGCACCGACCACGGCGGGTGTGGCGCGGCCATCCCTACCTTGAACACCTTGATCTGGCAGCTGGCCGAGTGCAGGTGCTCGGTGTACTCCCCATTCTCGTTCTGCTTAAATGTGTCAATCTGCACCCGGAAAGGCACGCCCTTCTCACCCCCGTGCTTCCTGGGGGTGAACTCTGTGCTGATACAGTGCACCTGGAAGGGGAGACGGGCTGGTAGCGAGACCGGGCGAGGCGGGCTCTGGACTCCCCAAGGGCCCCTCTCCGCATGGAGTCCCATCCGACCTCGCCAGGGCACACCTGGCTCACCCTCCCTGCTCTCCCCAGTGCTGTCCACCCCATCAGGCAGACAGGCTATCCACTGCCCTGTCCACAAAGAACATGCCCTCCCATCCCGCCCTTGACCCTTGACCTCAGAGGCCTTGCCTGACCAGCTAAGTCCTTGCCATTGCTCCAGACCCACTGACCCCAAGAGCTCCTCCTCACTCCGCACCCAGGGAACCCCCTGGCAAATGCTACAGGCTGCGGGGGGCACAGCTCAGCCCCTAGCGGCCTGGCACCCAGGTTACGTGGGCCAGGCCAGGCGAGGGCTGGAGGCTGGCACCCCTCCATCTTTCTGTAAGTGCTACACAGGGCACCTGATGCACATTTACTGTTATAATGCTATTTGTTTTAATAAGACAACACATATCATTATAATACAATAATAATGTAATCATTTTAAAATACAGTAAGAATACTGTAATTATGAAATCATTAACTTCTACTGAATGATTATTATGAACTGGGCACTGTAACGGCTTTATATTCATTATCTGGTTGAGATGCTCAAAAGGGGGACACTCCGAGAGAGAGCTGGGGGGAGCCCAGAAGCACGTGGCCATGCCCTGAGCCAACTCAACATTCTGTCCTGTTTATCACAAGGCTGGGCCCACACCAGGGGCTTGACCGTTAAATAATGAATTTAATAACAAAATGTACCATGGAAAATGCTTCTACCTCAAAGTATTTATGCTAGGAAATACTTTATTTTATAAAAAGCTTACATGTTCATAAGCAAACCCCACACAGTCCTTTTCCCAGCCCATGGCCAACTAGCTCTGATTAAGCAACCCCCCCCTTCCCCCGCCTCCTTCCCTGCAGGGGTCTGGCTGGAGAAACTGCACCTCGGACCCCAAAGCTGGGCTTCCCAGAGCAGCCTTCCTCCCACGTACCTGAATGAACGCAGAGGCTCTCTTCGAAGGGTCCCACAAAAACTCGACTGCGTTCAGCTGGGTCGGGCTGGCCCTGGGGTCCAAGATACCGACAGACAGTGGAATATCTGCACACACACAGAGTGGACTGTCAGCCACCCCAGTGCTGGAGGAGGGACCCATCCCGGCCCGGCTCCTTAACCGCACTGGTAATGCTGACAGCTCAGAATCCGGGTTTTGTGCAACTCCCCTGGCACAGAGCCCGACTGGCTTTGCCGTGAAGCTGTTTAGGCTTCATGCCATTTTGCGTGGTCACTTTGTTTTGCTGAGAAAGACGATGGTGCTGATGGCCTGTTGGAGACACTTCCCGATGCTATGGGCCTGTGCCCCGCAGCCTCCTGCCACTCACCTCCCCAATGCCAAACCCATCTGCCCGGGGCCGTGGACACAGGGCTGCACCACAGCCTGAGCTCTCAGGTGCCATCTGCACGGCCCACCTGTGCTGCTCACCCTCCCCGTCACCACCCATCCCGCTCGAGCGCGAGGCCTGCTGCAGAGCCGGCCCCGGAGCCCCCGACAGCGGGTCTCCGCATCCCGCTGCCTTTCCCTCCCACCAAACGGGAGTTCTGTGAGCAGGCCGGGCGCGGCCACCTCCGCCAGCTCAGGAGCAGCGCCCTGGACGCCCTGCACGGTCCGGACGGCGTCCAGCAGGAGCCCCGACGTGCGGGACCACTTGGGCTTGTCTTGGCACGGGAGGCTCACCGATGTCCAGGATGCGGTCCCCGGGCCGGCTCCACCGCCAGCCCTCCAGCTGCTGGTGCTCCGTGTACTGCAGCCGGCGGTCGTGGAAAACCACGCGGATGATGCTCTGGGGCGGGGAGGCAGGCAGGAGGCAGCTGAATGTGGGCGCCAAAAGGAGCCCACCTGCCGCCTTCTGAGCCAGGGCACACCCTGCCCTTCAAGGCTGCTCTTCCTGGACCTCCCCTCCCCTGCCCCCGGCTCTACTCCCTCCGCAGGACCTCAGCAACAGGAAGAAAAATGATGACTGCCCTTTGTCATGGTTACTGAGTACCTTACATACACGGCTGACTTATTAATCCTTCTGTGCAGATGAGCACACAGCAGCTCAGAAAAGTTCAGTAAGTGCCAAAGCTGGAACCCAGAGCCTGGCCAATGAGTGTCCACCCCCCTGGCTCTCAGCTCTGGCCAGTCCCAGCCCCTCCCCCCAAAGCGCATGCAGGAAACAAGAACCCACTCTCCCTCAGGGCTTTTCCCCAAACTCATGCCACGCCTGACCCCACAGCACGCCCAGGTGCTGAGACCCCCCAACCCCACAGGCAGGGAGAGCGCCCACAGACTTACCTTGACGTACTTTGTGTTCAGATCTTGAAAGTCTCCCAGCTTCCGATTCTCCAACAGTCGAATTTCATAAGACTGACCTGAAGGAGGGTTAACAGTACATTTCCCATTTCTGGGCGTTTTCAAATTCGGGGCTCACCCAGCTAGAGGCCTTTTCAACCTCCTGAGTGCCCACCCAGGCCTCACGGCTGAGGAGGACAGCAGAGAAGAAAGCCCATGGTCAGCTCCGATCATCCCCTGAACTGGACAGCCCCGGGTGTCCACCAGCCTGTTTGGGCCAAGGGCACCCCAGGCAACACACCACGTGACCCCTTAAGAGCCAGCACCTCAGTAATTTTGAAAGAAATGGAATCCAGCAAAATAGAGTTAGCATTAAATGTATGATACATGACTTCATTTCCTTGTAAGGAAGGCCCCCCACACACTCAGTGGAGAACACAGCTACCTGAATCCACACTGGAGCAGACAACCGACCAGGCCCTTCCTGAGAGCAGGTGTAATGAATGAATAAGAAAGCCTGTTAAACATTGGCTCTCATTGCAGAATGAAAAGCATTCCTGCACGTTACAAGAAATCTCATGTATTTGAAAGGGTGCGGGATTCTATGGGGTGACGTTTAACTGCACAAGCTGACTAAAGAATAGAGATGGAATGAGATTCATCCGTAACGACGACGAAAAACTTCAGAGTATGCATGAATAAACTGCACACACTTGATTGGAAGACACACACAGCCTCGATAAACGGAGCACGCGCTGTTCCAGATGGAAAGACCACGTATCAAATAATGTCGCTTTCCCCAAGTTAAATAAGTTCAACCACAACCCTAAAAGCACCACGTAATAAAGGATGTTTTACAAATAATAGAATAAATAATTTAATAATTAGTATTGGTAAATCTGATTCACTGTTTAAAAAAATTTTTTTTTTAAATAATGATAGAGTCACAAGAAATTACAAAAATAGAACGAAAAGGTCCTGAGTGCCCAGCCCCGGCGGCCAGGGGTGGCAGCGGAACCCCGACCTTCCTCAGGTGGCCCTGGGTTTTGCAGGTTTTCTGTCCTTTGTGTGTGTCATGTGTACAGGTCGACTAAGTGTTTCACACGTACGTGTGCAGCCAGTGCTCACAGACATTAGGCTGGGGGCCGCAGGAGGGGTGCGCGCAGGGTGAAGGGTGTCAGTGGTGGGGGAGACATCTGTAATGCTTTCAACAATAACAAAGATAGATTAATTAATTAATTTTTTCACGTGTAAAGATTAGCTATATTTTTCAAAGTGCAGACCCTTACCCATAGCAGATATCAAAACAAGTTACCATTGGTTTTAAAAGTTCATTTCCTAAGGTTTTATTTTAATGTGAATAACTACTTATTGGACAGTCAGAGGGGAAGGACTTTCTGAACCTAAAATCATGGAGGAAAAGTGAAATCTGGCTGTATTAAATATATATATGTATAAATTAAATGCAAACAAGAAACTAAACAGCACAAACCGAGTTGCTAACAGTCTTAAAATAACTAAAAGACAAATTATTAGAAAAATACTAACACCCTGATAGTGGACTGAATGATGCCCCCCCATCAGTCCACACCCTAATCCCCAGAACGTGTGTGTTTTGCAGATGCAATTAAGTTCAGACTCTTGCGTTAAGGAGAACATCCGGGGTTGTCCAGGACAAGTGTCCTTCTAAGAGACACACAGGAGAGGAGAGGAGCCAGGTGAGCGAGGGAGCAGAGCTGCCCGGAGCCATCACCAGCTGGAAGAGGCAAAGAACAGACGCCCCTAAAGCCCCAAAGGGAGCGTGGCCCTGCCGGACTTCCAGCGTCTAGTCCGGAACTGGTGAAGAATCAACTTCCGTTGTTTTAAGGTAACATGTGTGTGTGATTTGTTAAAGCGGTCACAGGAAGCTAACATACCCCTCACGATGAACACGACAATGGACAAAGAACATGAAATCAAATCACTCATCCGAATATCTGCTGAGCAACACCACGTGTCAAGCGCCAGGCAACTCCTATGACAGGAAATGGCAGCAGGGACGCGGTGCCACCCACGTGCCAGGGAGCTCAGCGCCACAGCTCCCACCGGCCGGACATGATGCTGACGGAGCCTTGTTGGGAAGGGGGTACCCTGCGGCACCGGTGACAGGCTGCGGCCCAGCTCTGAGCAGAGCGCTGGGCAGGTCACGGCCGAGGGAAGAGGCGCAAACCCCAAACTCTCATCTTGACCATTTGCCAGTTAAGCAGACACAACTCATGGGAGGGTCTTACTGACCTGACCCCACTCCTAACTTTCTGAAAAAGTCGGATTTTTACACATTTCCAGGCTTCTGAGCAACACTCCCCTGACAGCAACACGAAATGGAGCCTCACACTCTACCCGGTTTTTCCAGTGTCCTCCAGCTTCCCCAAGGAAGAGTGTAACAGGCTCCGGCATGGGGCCCAAGGCCCAAGTGGTCATTACTTGGGCTTACAGGTGCCCAGGGCTCAATTAATCCTGACCCCAAGCTCTGCAGGGCAACCTCACTTACGCCAACAGGAGGCGCCGGCCACACCGCCCTGACTCGGGCCTCCCCCCTATGCCCGCCTCAGTGCCAACACTCCGGCCTCCCCAAGGCCCGGCCTCCCCAAGGCCCGGCCTCCCCAAGGCCCGGCCTCCCCAAGGCCCGGCCTCCCCAAGGCCCGGCCTCCCCAAGGCCCGGCCTCCCCAAGGCCCGGCTCTCACACAGCAGGCCCCACCCAGAGGCCCCTGCTGCTGGTCACCCCCGCCGAGGAGCCAGGCGAAAGCCAACTCAGCTTGAAGCACACGGCCCCTCTGCTCGGCGGGCTCAGCCTGGGGCGTGAGTGCAGCCGCGGAAAGTGGGCTCCGACAGCACGGCCGCTTTGCTCCCCACTGTGCCGTCTGATGCACACACGTGGCCGTGGTTTCCCACCCTTCTCGGCGCCACTCTGAGCTAGAACTGGGGTTTGCCAAAGTAAGACACGCTCCTGCCTTCAAAGGGTTAGCAACTTTCTGGGGTCCATTAGACAACACAGGAAAGCACCCACATAAGGCAGAATTTGAAAAATCTTCCAAGAAGCGGGCAACACTCGCCCAGAACGGGGAGGAGGGTGAGGACAAAGGTCTGAGCGAGGAGATCCTATTCCAGATGGGCTCGAGCAGTGGGCAGGATTTCCAGAGCTGAAGGGAAGGACTAGAAAGCAACCCTGAGCAGAACCGTACGTAGCAAGGAGGCGCGAGGGGGGAGTGTGCCTAGGGGTTCACCCGCTGAGTGCTTGCCCGGTGGCAAGGTCTGCTCAGGGGTTAAGTCACCTGAAGCTCAGAACACACCAATGAGGCATTTAGGACGAGCCCCACTGATCAAAGGAAGCAGAGGCTCAGAGAGGTTGCCTACTTGGCCAAGTTTGCACAGCTAGTAAGTGGCAGAGCCCGGAGCAGAAACTAGATATTTCCAGAACCTACCACATTCTTTGCCACATCCTACATGGTGGGTGTCACTTGCTGGTCAGAGGACAGTTCTACATGACCCTCAACTTCTCCTTTCTGGAAGTTCTTTACTTGCACAGGGAATAAAATGTGCCTATAGCATCTTTTTTTTTTTCCTATTGCATCTATTGGGGTGATATAGGTTTCAGGTGTACAATTCTATCCCACATCATCTGCATACTGTACTGTGTTCACCACCCCAAGTCAGGTCTCCTTCCGTCACCATCCATCCCCGGAAGCCTCCTCTACTGCCCTCGGCATCTTGCGGCACTGAAAGCACCCCGACCTTCACCATCCCGAGTGAGGCTGGTCTCCCTGCTTCCTTCTTCCCTGCAGGACGAGCAATAAGGCCGAGTCCTAGGATGACCCTCGCTAAAGCAGGCTGACTGCATTTTCCGGTCTGCAAAGACCATTCCCTGCATTCGAAACCGTGGTCTGAGAAGAAAAACAAATCACCACAGGAAATCATAGGAAAGCCTGTTCTAATTTCAGAATTGTGAAATGTAGAAAAAGAAAGAAAAAAAGCTGGTCTTAGAATCAAGGAAACAGGTAGCAAATGGCTTATGCTCAGCTGTGCACGGGGCCTCGCCAAACCACTGCCCTGACGTTTCCTTCAGTCCTCCCAGCAATCCACCAGGGACACCGTTACTGACCCCGTTGTTTAAATCCTCACCTGAAATTAATTCTTATTAATTTGAGAGAGAGAGGAAAGGAGAGAGAGAGAGAAGGAGAGAAAGATAGGTTGCCTCCTGCATGTGCCCTGACTGGGGATCGAACACACAACCTAGGTATGTGCCCTGACCAGAAATCAAACCCACAACCTTTTGGTGTATGGGATGATGCTCCAACCAAATGAGCCACCCGGCCAGAGCCAACCCATTTATTGATGAAGAAATTAAGATCCAGAGAGTATCTTACTGCAGATCAAACCTGAGTCTCTCTGACTCCAAGGACTAAACACTTAGCCAAACTACTCCACACAGTGTCCCGCTGCTCCAAGGGGACCTTCTGGTTCTGATATTCAAGAAGTCTATCTATTTCATTCCTCCTGAATTTCTTGATATTCATTTTATTTAATGACCCTCTTCCACACACCTAAACCCTCCCCTTCCTTTAAGGTGCAAATCCGTATGCCCATGACCTCAGTTCTCTGAACAAGAAGTACGTGTAGCGATGTAACCACACCGAGGCATGAGGTTTGATATTGGTTTCCTCCTGATCAACTCGTCTCCACGAAACACACATTCGTAACTCACTTAAAATGCTGTGAAGGTTACAGTGACCCGAACCACGTCATTTCTGGCGTGGGGACCAACAGATCAATGGAAAGAACAAAGAATCCTCAGATACTTGGAAACTTGATCTGTAACAGTCAAAAAGATAAGCTTTTCAAGAGTGCAGGATGGCTGGTTACCTATATGGAAGGAAAACTCTCTACCTCACACCATATAAATTAACTCCCGTTCTAGAGTGATACCCTGAGGATCACCTGGTGGCACCAGGAAACGGGCATGCTAATCTCAGGGAGAAACTGTCAACAATAGGAAAAGAGATATTTGACTTAGAATGGAATAGCACACGGCACTTAAAATAA